AGTGACTGACCAAGAGAGACATGGATGCCTCCAAAGGCAACAGTGGTTCATGGGCTGTTGATCTGGCTGGATTCTTCCTGCCTAAACCTCCTTCACAGGGGTCAGACCTGCATCACTGACCCAGGGCTCTACGTCATCTCCCTTTCCTTTATCTGTGTGGGCACTCCAGTAAACTCCACATACTGCCTGCCCATCTGTTGATCCTAAGGCTAGCTTCTGGAAAACCCGCACTAACACACTATTGGATGAAAATCAGAGGACAGCTGCCCGAGCTGTCCTGGGAATAAGCTGGCTGCAAGACTCCCTGGCTGCAGAACCTAAGCCTTTGTCCATGAGTGGACACTGATCTGCACCCCATGTTCAACAGGAGCCATTTCATAGTTCTGGCACACACCTCTAATGTCCTGGCTGCACCTAGCTAGACTCCCTCTGGTCCACTGCTGTTAGTGAGTGACCAAGCAGGCTACTCCATCCAAACCTTAGGATCGCCCACTCCATCTCCTGAATTCCAACCTCTGGCCACACCGGCTTCTTTCACTTGCTTCTGAAGCTACGTCCTCATTCTGTGCATATTCTGGTCCCTCTCAAAGGTGTGTTCTTCCTCCAGCTCCTCCCAACCCACACAGATTCACCCTAAGTCCTGACTGGATGACACACATGCATCCAATGAATATCAGACATGTATGATACGCCTTTTGTTTTGTTTTTCCAGGTACCGGGGACGCAGAAGCAAAGAAAAAAAAAATCCTGTCTCATTGAGCCCCGTGGGGATGAGGGACAATTTCTAACCATAAGATACTGTCTACTATTATGAAGAGGAGAATGAGGAGTGGGATCAGGACTGCAGTTTTAAACAGGGCAGTCAGGGAAGGCTTGCCTGGGTAACATTTGACAAAGATGACAGGGAGAGCCAAACGCATCATACGGTTGAGGGTTTCTGAAAAACGCCTGGCTTTTCTGATAAGCGAGGTGCCCAGTGGAGCTAGAGCTAAGGAAGCAAGATGGGGGAAAGCAGATGGATTCAGAGGCTTTCCCGGGGCTATGGGCTGGGGCATTGCATGCAGTAAGAACTTCAAACTTTTGTGCAGAAGAGGGGCAGAGAGGGTTTGACACGATTTCTGTTTTAAAAGACCACTCTATTGTCTCAAGAATGCACTAGGGCCTGCGAGATGGCTCACTTGCAGCTCCAGCCTGGCTACCTGAGTTCAATCCCTGGAACTTTACCATATTTACAAAACCCATGTAAAAGTAGAAGGGGAAAACCAACTCAAGACTGTCCTCTGACTCTCATGTGTGTGCCATGCCATGTGCATCCATCCATCACAGAAAAGTAACTTTCAAGAGTGGACCGTGATAAAGTCATGATATATAAGATTTAACAACAATCCAGACAAAAGGGGGCGGTGACACGGAGAAGCCAGTCTTCCCTCACTCCAGGCTGTCTGAGCTGCCTGGGCATGAGCTCTGTGGACTAGCGCATCTCCAATTCTTGTCACGAGTGTAGGAAACCAGTGTGTGATATCCAGGTAATCACTGTGTAACACCCTGTATTAAGACATCATATAGGCCTCATGCCATAAATACTTTATTTAATACTTCATAGAGGTGTACTAAGCAAGGTAAGGACAATCCTGGTCTCACGGGATCTGCCCTGGGCTGTTTCCATGGCAGTCACCAACAGGTAGGTGCCTGGAATCCCAATCCACCGCCTCCCTGAGATTGACCGTAGTGTCACAGGCTACAGAACCAGCCTCAAAGGCTCTCCCCTTTCCTCCTCCACCCCTCCCCTGCCAGGAAAGACAAACTAATGACCCACCATCCTTGGAATATCTCACACATCTGATACCAACCGCACAACTCATCATCTTCAAGGCCCAGCTCCCTGATTTCCTCAGGAAGAGTCCCTCCAGGTTTCCACAGCGCCGGGTTCCTATTTCTCTTTAGAAACTTTTGTTCAGTGTCACAGGTGTTTACACGAAACCCTTCAGAGTCAGTTCCCACCCATTCTTTTATCGAAGAATTACTGACTGCCCCTGTATGTGTTAGGCATTGTGCTGGAGGATGCTAGGGACACACCAGGAAACGACAAAACCTCGCCTTGTGCAGCATACATCACAGTAGCCTGATGGAAAGAGGTCATACATGCTTCAGGGTTTTGCTTTGAATCAAGCTCTGCACCGTACATCCGTTTTCTAATTTCTTCTTGTGTGTTGCTGGGGAAAGAACCCAGGGCCGTGAGCATGCTAGGCATTACTCTATCACCGAACTACACTGTCAGCTCCACATTTCATCTTCACAGTATTGAGCCAACACATTATCATCACTGTTTCCACTTTACAAAGGAAGAAACTGACCCCCTACAGTGTGGATCCCAACAAAGCCGGGAACTTGCCTGCCAGGGTCACCATGGCCCCCAGTGCCGGCTCATGACAGCATTCACTCAGTAAACATCTGGGGAAGTATGGCAAGCCCTGCCCGGTGAGGCAGAGCGAAGTGTCGAGCCCCACCCTGGCCTCATCTTCTCTCTCCTCCACCTGCAGCTTCCTGTTGTATCCCCAAGGGCTCGGCAGTGGCTGTCAAGTCTGGGGAACGACATGATGGGTGGCCTTGGGGACAGGCTACAAAGCCTAGCATCCTCCCGACCTGGAGCCATCTCCCCGTGGAGCATTCCCTCTCTCCCCAAACAGCCGGAGGTCGGACACGATCTCTCTCGGAGCCCCAGAGACCTCCGAGCCGCGGACAGCGTTCCAAGGCCCCTACTTCCGGTCGTCGCCCCCTCCCCAGGTGTCCCCATTTCCTGGGGTCTCCCGCCCCTCTGGCTCACTTCCGGCAGGCTCGCCCGCTGGGGTCCCTATCCCTGGCCCCTGGGCGCACGCACGGGCTCGCGGGCACTCACCAGCCCGGCGGCAGGCGGAGCGCGGGTCACGGCGGCAGGAGCCTCGGCTGGCAGCGCGCGCACTACAGACC